CTCTGCCGTGTGTGTGTGTCGCTGCCTGCCATCCTCTGCCGTGTGTGTGTCGCTGCCTGCCATGCCGTGTGTGTGTCGCTGCCTGCCATCCTCTGCCGTGTGTGTGTCGCTGCCTGCCATCCTCTGCCGTGTGTCGCTGTCTGCCATCCCTGCCGTGTGTGTCGCTGCCTGCCATCCTCTGCCGTGTGTGTGTCGCTGCCCGCCATCCTCTGCCGTGTGTGTCGCTGCCTGCCATGACCTGCCGTGTGTGTCGCTGCCTGCCATCCCTGCCGTGTGTGTGTCGCTGCCTGCCATCCTGCTCGTGTGTCGCTGCTCCCATCCTCTGCCGTGTGTCGCTGCCTGCCATCCCCTGCCGTGTGTGTGTGTCGCCTGCTGACCTGCCGTGTGTGTGGCCGCTGCCCGCCATCCTGCCGTGTGTGTCGCTGCGCCATACCCGCGTGCCGCCCGCCATGACCTGCCGGGTGTGTCGCTGCCTGCCATCCTCTGCCGTGTTGCCGCTCTGCCCTGCTGCCCGCCATCCTCTGCCGTGTGTGTGTCGCTGCTGCCATCCTCTGCCGTGTGTCGCTGCCTGCCATGACCTGCCGTGTGTCGCTCGCTGCCATCCTCTGCCTGGTGTGCCGCCCGCCATGACCTGCGGTCGCTGCCCGCCATCCTCTGCCGTGTGTCGCTGCCCGCCATCCTCTGCCGTGTGTGTGTCGCTGCCTGCCATGACCTGCCGTGTGTGTGTCGCTGCCTGCCATCCTCTGCCGTGTGTCGCTGCCCGCCATCCTCTGCCGTGTGTGTGGCGTGCACCGGTGTACCTGCGTCGCTGCCCGCCATCCCCCGTGTGTGTCGCTGCCTGCCATCCTCTGCCGTGTGTGTCGTTCGCCATCCTCTGCCGTGTGCGCCGCTGCCTGCCATCCTCTGCCGTGTGTGTGTCGCTGCCTGCCATGACCTGCCGTGTGTGTCGCTGCCTGCCATCCTCTGCCGTGTCGCCCGCCATGACCTGCCGTGTGTGTGTCGCTGCCCGCCACCCTGCCGTGTGTGTCGCTGCCTGCCATGACCTGCCGTGTGTCGCCGCTCGCCTGCCGTGTGTGTGTCGCTGCCCGCCATCCCTCTGCCGTGTGTGTCGCTGCCTGCCATCCCTCTGCCGTGTGTGTCGCCGCTCGCCATGCCTGCCTCGTGTGTGTGTCGCTGCCTGCCATCCTCTGCCGTGTGTGTGTCGCTGCCTGCCATCCTCTCGCCGTGTGTGTGTCGCTGCCGCCAGACCTGCCGTGGTGTGTCGCTGCCCGCCATGACCTGCCCGTGTGTGTGTCGCTGCCTCGCCATGACCTGCCGTGTGTGTGCGCTGCCTGCCATGACCTGCCGTGTGTCGCTGCCGCCATGACCTGCCGTGGTGTGTCGCTGCCTGCCATCCTCTGCCGTGTGTGTGTGTCGCTGCCTGCCATCCTCTGCTGTGTGTGTGTCGCTGCCTGCCATGACCTGCCGTGTGTGTGTCGCTGCCCCGACCTGCCGTGTGTGTCGCCGCCATCCTCTGCCGTGTGTGTCGCTGCCTGCCATCCTCTGCCGTGTGTGTGTCGCCATCCTCTGCCGTGTGTGTGTGTCGCTGCCTGCCATCCTCTGCCGTGTGTGTCGCTGCCCGCCATCCTGCCGTGTGCCGCTGCCCGCCATCCTCTGCCGTGTGTGTCGCTGCTCGCCATCCCCGCCGTGTGTGTGTCGCTGCCCGCCATGACCTGCCGTGTGTCGCTGCTGCCATCCTGCCGTGTGTGCTCGCTCGCCATCCTCTGCCGTGTGTGTGTCGCCGCCATCCGCTGTGTGCCGCTGCCCGCCATGACCTCTGCCGTGTGTGTCGCTGCCCGCTCGACCTGCCGTGTGTGTGTCGCTGCCTGCCATGACCTGCCGTGTGTCGCTGCCCGCGATCTGCCGTGTGTGTGTCGTCGCCGCTCGCCATGACCCCTGCCGTGTGTGTCGCTGCCGCCATGACCTGCCGTGTGTGTGTCGCTGCCTCGCCATCATCTGCCGCGGTCGCTGGCTCGCCATGACCCGCCGTGTGTGTGTCGCTGCCTCGCCATCCTCTGCTGTGTGTGTCGCTGCCCGCCATCTCCGTCGTGTGTGTCGCTGCCTGCCATGACCTGCCGTGTGAGTGCCGCTGCCTGCCATGACCTGCCGTGTGTGTGTCGCCTGCTCGCCATGACCTGCCGTGTGTGTGTCGCTGCCTGCCATGACCTGCCGTGTGTGTCGCCGCCTGCCATGACCTGCCGTGTGTGTGTCGCTGCCTGCCATCCTCTGGGTGTGTGTCGCTGCTCCCATCCTCTGCCGTGTGTGTGTCGCTGCCTGCCATCCTCTGCCGTGTGTGTCGCTGCCTGCCATCCCTGCCGTGTGTGTGTCGCTGCCTGCCATGACCTGCCGTGTGTGTGTCGCTGCCGCCATCCTCTGCCGTGTGTGTGTCGCTGCCTGCCATCCTCTGCCGTGTGTGTCGCTGCCCGCCATCCTCTGCCGTGTGTGTCGCCGCCCGCCATCCTCTGTCGTGTGTCGCTGCCTGCCATGACCTGCCGTGTGTCGCTGCCGCCATGACCTGCCGTGTGTGTGTCGCCGCCTGCCATCCCTCTGCCGTGTGTCGCTGCCTGCCATCCCTCTGCCGTGTGTGTGTCGCTGCCTGCCATCCTCTGCCGTGTGTGTGTCGCTGCCCGCCATGACCTACCGTGTGTGTCGCTGCTCGCCATCCTCTGCCGTGTGTCGCTGCCTGCCATCCTCTGCCGTGTGTGTGTCGCTGCCTGCCATCCTCTGCCGTGTGCGTGTGTCGCTGCCCGCCATGACCTGCCGTGTGCCGCTGCCTCCATCCTCTGCCGTGTGTGCCGTTGCCCGCCATGACCTGCCGTGTGTCGCTGCCTGCCATCCTCTCGCCGTGTGTGTGTCGCTGCCTGCCATCCTCTGCCGTGTGTGTCGCTGCCCGCCATGACCTGCCGTTGTGTGTGTGTGTGTCGCTGCCTGCCATCCTGCCGTGTGTGTGTCGCTGCCTGCCATCCTCTGGGCGTGGTCGCTGCCCGCCATGACCTGCCGTGTGTGTGTCGCCCGCCATGACCTGCCGTGTGTGTGTCGCTGCCCGCCATCCCGCCGTGTGGTGTCGCTGCCTGCCATCCTCTGCCGTGTGTGTCGCTGCCCGCCATGACCTGCCGTGTGTGTCGCTGCCCTGCGACCTGCCGTGTCGCTGCCTGCCATCCTCTGCCGTGTGTGTGTCGCTGCCTGCCATCCTCTGCCGTGTGTCGCTGCCTGCCATCCTCTGCCGTGTGTGTGTCGCTGCCTGCCATCCTCTGCCGTGTGTGTGTCGCTGCTTGCCATGACCTGCCGTGTGTCGTTGCCCGCCATGACCTGCCGTGTGTGTCGCTGCCCGCTGCGACCGCCGTGTGTGTCGCTGCCTGCCATCCTCTGCCGTGTGTGTCGCTGCCTGCCATCCTGCCGTGTGTGTGTCGCTGCCTCGCCATCCTCTGCCGTGTGTTGCTGCCTGCCATGACCTGCCGTGTGTGTGTCGCTGCCTGCCATCCTCTGCCGTGTGTGTGTGTCGCTGCCTGCCATCCTCTGCCGTGTGTGTGTCGCTGCCTGCCATGACCTGCCGTGTGTGTGTCGCTGCCTGCCATCCTCTGCCGTGTGTGTGTGTCGCTGCCTCGCCATGACCTGCCGTGTGTGTCGCTGCCTGCCATCCTCTGCCGTGTCGCCCTGCCATCCTCTGCCGTGTGTGTGTCGCTGCCTGCCATGACCTGCCGTGTGTGTGTGTCATGCCTGCCATGACCTGCCGTGTGTGGTCGCTGCCTGCCATCCTTGCCGTGTGTGTCGCTGCCTGCCATCCTCTGCCGTGGTGTGTGGTCGCTGCCTCGCCATCCTCTGCCGTGTGTGTGTCGCTGCCTGCCATCCTCTGCCGTGTGTGTGTCGCTGCCCGCCATGACCTGCCGTGTGTGTGTCGCTGCCTGCCATCCTCTGCCGTGTGTGTGTCGTTGCTCCTGACCTGCCTGTGTGTGTGTCGTTGCCTGCCATGACCTGCCGTGTGTGTGTCGCTGCCTGCCATCCTCTGCCGTGTGTGTATGTAGTCAGAGTTTATCTATGTAACTATAAATGTATTTTCACACATGGGTTTGGGAGGGAGGGAGGCTGTGTGTACTATGGCAGCGGCAAGTTAGAGGTGAGAACAGAAGCCAAGGACAATGTTTTGGGTGGTACTGAGACAACACCACCAGCAGCGTCACCCTGAGACAACACCACCAGCAGCGTCACCCTGAGACAACACCACCAGCAGCGTCACCTGAGACAACACCACCAGCAGCGTCCCCTGAGACAACACCACCAGCAGCGTCACCCTGAGACAACACCACCAGCAGCGTCACCTGAGACAACACCACCAGCAGCGTCACCCAGAGACACACCACCAGCAGCGTCACCCTGAGACAACACCACCAGCAGCGTCACCCTGAGACAACACCACCAGCAGCGTCACCCTGAGACAACACCACCAGCAGCGTCACCCTGAGACAACACCACCAGCAGCGTCACCCTGGAGACAACACCCACCAGCAGCGTCACCCTGAGACAACACCACCAGCAGCGTCACTCTTTCCTTCCTGGCGGAATATTGTTGGAACATCTCACCT